AGTGATAAGCGTGATTACCTCTCACCCCAGCAGGCCAGGGTTCAATCCCAGTCGGCGCCGCCGGGATGTTCTGAGGCATAACATCTCTGATCACGCCTTCCTTCGGATGGGAAGTAAAGCCGTTGGTCCCCGGTTCATGAGTTGATGGGTCGATAAGTAGGGTCCAGGTGTGGGAGCTGCCTTCTTGGCACGTCGGTAGCATTGGTGCTCAGCACGGAAAACAAGATCGACGGAAAAACAAATCAAAGGAAAAAAAAAATAATTGACGAATCCTTCACTGTATTCAGAATAGATCGCAGCTCTCTCAATAGTCGAAAAACTCCAAGTGGAGGTGTACTGATAGCCGTCTCTTCAAAACTGTGTAGCTGTATTGATCCAGCTCCGGTAAGCAGTGCTCTTGAGCTGCTTTGGATCAATATCAAATTGCAAAACTGTGATATCAGTGATCGTAGAGATGATCTGTCATGTCACTCATTCATAAATACATAGAGGGTGACTCCTGTTATTTCTGAGTGCTCTCTCTCACTTTATTACTACAATTCCCCAGGTCCCTGGTCTAAAGCCACGGGGACTAGACTCTCAAGGTCGGCTCCGGACAAATATGGGACACTGATCAGCAAGTTCAAACACGGTCACCTACTATTTCACTAGTTAAGTTTTATTTACCAAAACCTACTTACAATTTCTAGGTGTATGTGTATGTGCGTAAGGGCCGGCCAGCACGGAGATCTCTGCTGCGGGAAATCGGACGGGGCGGCTATGAGTGCGATGAATGGCACCAGGGTTACTTCCACTCACTTGCTATAAAAAATGTTTTTCGGAATTATGAAATCATGAGATGTTATAATGATAATTACTATTTGTAAGCTTCAAGAAGAGGTCGTAAAGTACGTGTTTGACACATCAAATCTGTCAATGATGCTTTGAGTGCGTCACAATAATCGATTTTACGACTCGTAAGCGCTCACTCTGAGTGAACACTCACGAATCATAAAATCGCTGATTGTGACGCCGTGAAAGCGAAATTGACAGGTTTTATGAATCAAACACGTACTTTACACCCTCTTATTGTTACTTACAAGTACTACATATCATTATATCATCTAATGGTTGCATTAATATTTTTTTAGCAAGTGAGTGGAAGCAACCCTGAATGGCACGGTTGCCACGGACAGTGGTATCAGTGCTGGATGGCACGGGGTCCTGTCGTTGCAAACTCCTCGCGGTACTTGGTTCCCTACCAAGGCTGATTGGCACGTGTAGCCGGTCAATCGAGCACTACCTGTCCCGGTGTGATATCGAGCTGATTTACACACGGCTTTGAGGTAAAACTCAATGGGTCCTGATTCTATTCAAAGGATTAGGCAGCTATATTTTTCCACCCGTATTGGACTGTTTGTTCACTATTTATCAAACTCTGTGAACTTATAAACTTTCGTCAGCTTGATGAACTTGTTGACTCAAAGGTTGGCGTGGAAAAGAACTAGTGCTATTCTTCAGACCAGTAGCAGACCATATAATTCCCTTTTCCCGAAATGTCCCATTCCAAATTTCCCTTGTCCTCCATGATCCGGGTGGTGGGTGTTGTTTTCTGTATGCTAAGTGTAGGTGTTTAAAAGTTGGTGTGTTTCTGTATTTAATTCGACCGTTCATACTGGAGTTTATGTTCTTCAGTTCCCTAATTTCTATCTGTTTTATGTATATGAATGCGCCATTAGTGCTTTACTATTCATTCACCATTCAATAGGCAATAATATGAATAAAAGTATCATTAATTCTAAACGAACATTAGTTCAATCATGACTGATTAAAAACTTTCATGGTAAACAACAGTATACTAGCGGATTGCTGTCTCGTTCGGTTGAGTGCTCGCTCTTTATAGCCCTGCTAACGCTCTGCTCTAGCTTTTTCCATAAGGCCCAAACAGTACCCAAACAGTAACACCCCCGAAAAAAAATCAAGGGAAATCAACTAATTTCACCATTCCCGATTCTCGGGATTTTCCCCGCATTTCCCGGAAAATTCAAGATATCGCCCTAATAAACGAGTAAAAGATACCACAAATCGTTCTACAATACCACATATTGTTGGGATGATAACCCGAATAGCTTGTTAGGTACTTCTTATAATTATTTTCTATGCAGACGGTTATAATTTGATTTTGATTGATGATTGTTATAATTTTCCGCATAATCGGATTAAACAGACTCTACTTTAAATATTGATTCAAATTACAGAGGTTCTACTGTCTGCTCTGTCACTATCGTTTGTTGATATATTCATTGAGATTTTCACGTCCGATTGAATTGATGCGATATATGAGAGCGTGTTAGTGAAAATCCTAGGAAAATACATAACAAATCGCTATCCAACTCATTTTGACAGATCTAATTTCAAACATTTTTTTAAGTTAGCAAGAGGAAGATGGTGAACAACTTCACACGGCGATGCACCCACTAGTGTGCGTGCGTTAAACGTCACTAATCTCGTTAAATGCACGCACACTTTGGTAATGGCCAAAACTTCTGGAACTCCTGGAAAGTTCTATGAATTTAAGAATATCAGCGGGAAATGTATAGAAGTTCCCAGATTTTCAACAAACCTCAGTGATGTTAAGAAAATTGTTGAGTTCTGCACATAAGTTCCATGAACTTAACGGAAGCTTAGACATTTCTAGGACAGTTTAATTAAATTAATGTCAGTACTACAAGCTCCACGAGAACTGCAAATACGATAGAGAGCTTTCGAGAATTTCAAGAAACAATAGAGAAGCTCAGGGCAGTTCCATAAATTTTAAATAAATAAAATAAATTAAAAAAAAAGATTCAGCGTATTGTTAAAACAATAGGAGTTTCCTAGAATTCTAGAAAAAAAATGCGAAACCATCATCACACCAAACCATGATAAAATGACGTAAGCGCTACCATGTTCAATGTTCGCATGTCACCATATTCGAGTTCTTCATGCTTAATGCCACCCAAAAATACTTAATACATGCACAAAATTTGATTTGGAAGCAAAGTGGCAATGTGACGTTAGCCATACATTTTCGAAAAATCAGTACAAAATGATCACTGTTTCTACAAATAAGTGACATCCGCCAACCATAACTGCTGAAGAATTAAAAGCTTTTCAGAAAACATTCACATGTTTAGCTTTGTTTAGATCATATTCAACAGCTCCAGTAATCATTTTCATAATTTTCGCAATCATTGCGAGGTTAAACAAAAGTATCTGTTTTCTGAACAATTCACTAATTGTCATCTCACGGCAGTTCAGAGAAGATTTAAGACCATTCAGAAATTTTTGGAACTTAAGGAAATCCAACAAAGCTCAGACAAATTCAAAAATATTGCAAAGAAGTATTGTTAGCATCAATCTACAACTGAACTTCAAGACAGTATTAGTAAGTAGTTCTGAAGAGCGCAGAATAACCCAGATGAATTTTCCTGAAAATTCACTTGCAATTCTCCTCAAAGTTTACTTTCTATTCTTCCAAAGATCCTATGGAATTATTCCAGAAATTTTTAATTGCTAATACGAATTCGCTTTAAACGCTTCTTTGAATTCTATAAAAAATTTCACCGGAATATCATTGGAATATTCCTTGAAATTTTCCTAGGAATTACCCTGAAATTCTTCTCAGTCAGGATCCCTTTGGAATATTTCTCAGCATTTCCATTGAATTCATTTGTGAGTTCCCTTTGAAATTCACTTCTTCCCTTGTAATTCTAATTACATTTAAAGTTTCCTAAGAATCAATTCGCAGTCCCCCTCACAAATTCTTTAGATTTGTCCTCAAAATATGTTTGGCAAACTCTCCCGGTATTATTTTCTCCTGGAGTTATTCTCAGATTTAGTTATTATCCTCGATTTAGCATACCCCCACCCTCTAAGTATTCTCCTAAAATTTCCAAGAAATTATACTCCGGATTGTTTCTACACAAATTTCTTGAAATTATTCTCATATTGTCCTTGATTTTTTCCTTTGGGATTTCCAGGAGTTCTGCTCATAATTATCATGGAATAATCCTCATAAATTTCAATGATTTTTTAATAAAATACTATTTGAACTCAATTCAAGAGTTTCAAAAAATCCTATGCAAAATTATGTCAGGTTGTCATTTCACCGTAGCAGCGTCACGAAATCATGTAAGGTTTTAAACGCTTATAATTTGGTCATAAAAAAGATGGTTTTACAATGTTATTGTGCCATTTGAATCAGATTTTATTTAAGCTTTGTTTGGCATTAAAATTATAAATGGATATCAATAGTAAACTAATAAAAATTGAAGAAACTTGGATGCTATCCATTACTGAAACTTCAATTACAGATACCAAACCACTAACGTAAATTCAATAATGGAACAAATTGAAAATGTGTATACAATAGCAAATGGGTGGAGCAGCCTGTTAACAGTTTTTGGGACCCCAAATGGAACCTAAAAAACATTGTTCTGGAAAAATGATCATGATAACCCATCCTAATATCCATCCATAAATGGCCAAGTTATAAACTTAAATGATTTCGTGACGTTGCCACAGCGAAATGGTACCACATAACTTCGACAAAGATGTAGTCCTACGACAATAATAAAAACAAAACAAACAAACAGCAGTCAACACATTCCAGAACCGACCACTAAGGGTGGTACTATAACATTAAAGTTGTGTCCAGATTCTAACTGGACCAGCTTTGCTAATCCGCCATATATCTACGGAATATCCTCTGACATCAATTTATCGTAGATCGAGAATATCTTTCTACAATACTGCAATTCCCGGATGGGGGCAAGGACCGATTTCTCAACAAGTCAGTCAGCTTCGTTCCAGCAATGCAGATATTGTACCAAAAGAGACCAAGAATTTGTGAAAATACTGTTCGATCATATTTTTCAATAATGATTCCAAAATACGAAAATTTCATGCATCCTTTTTCAAAACTGCCATAAAAATGCTTCAATAAATTTGAGCAAACATTGGAAAGTACATCTTCTTACCTTCATTGCATCTCAAATGCACTCCTCACGATCTCAGTCCACCAGCAGATCCGATTGCAAATTGCCTTCGATTAAAATCCCATCAACACCAACATCGCACCGTCTCAGACGCCCATGATTCAAGGGCTTCACAAAATCACCACGCCGAAATCACCGCTCTGGCAAACATTCACAACTATTTCCAAACGATCTCACCGTTAATGAAACCGTCACTGCACTTGACTGCTCTCTTCCTTCAGATCCAGCTCACCACACACGTGTTGCATTCGTTTCACAGCTTATAATGACGATAATGCGTTTCATCCTTCAAACAACGATCACTTTTGCAACGATTTCGACGAATCAATCACGTGGAGCCACCGCACTCGTACACACACGTTCCACCAAAAACCAGCACTCACTCACTCGCAGCAGAACCAAAAAGCAACGGTGAAAATGGCATAGACGACGACTGCACTCAGAAGGGCAAAAGCCAAGATCGCACAGAACAGCATCACTTCACTTCTCACTGCTGTTTTTCTTTTTCTTTTTCGTTTGTTTTGTTGCTTTTCTTCTCTCCGCGACTTATTAAATTTGGACCGGGGTCTTTCGGGTCGGTCAGACTTGATGCACTTCCAATAATAGTCGGATAATTACAGCTCGGTCGTCGAGCTGGCCGCGAGAAAACTGGAGAATTAGACGTTATTGATGTTGCAGAGGCAACTTTTCTCACTCCTCAGTTGTGACACTCAACTTCACTTCACTTTGGACGATGTAGCTTGTTTCTAAAATGTTCCTCCCAAATTCACATTCAATGGAAATTCGATGACCTCAAAGCATTTTGGCGTGGATGGTCCACTTTTGCGGCCAACTACCTCCACTGTCTGTCAAAGCGAGTGCCGCTGAGTAGAAGCCAGAGTAAGAACTGCACCCGCTGAAAGGTGGGCTCTAACAATTCGGTGTTATCATTTGCTTTCCTTTCGTTCGAAACGAGAGCCCACCAGTGCCAGTGTGGCCACCGAACTCAGTGTCTTCGTTGTGGGTGGTAGCAATTCGGCGTGATAGGTTGCCGTCTTCCCTTGCCTTGATATTGTACGACGTGAACCCGGTAAAGGTAACGATAGTGGGTCAAATTGCTGGATTCGGTTTGGGTTGGAAACGTGGAATAGATAGCACCATGGGAAATGGCATAAATGAGAAATGTGCGATTGTTTGCCATGTGGAACACGGTGTGGGGAGAAATTAAAATTTCAATTTTGGAATACCGTTAACTAAAGCTGATTAGTGATATCACAATGTTTCGACAATCTGGATCATTGATCATTTCTATTTAATTGCTTTAGGTGCCATAGCCAAATACCTTCTATTATTCATTAGATTTAAAGCTGCCAAAACGACACAACTTTTAAATATAATGAACTAAACGCACGCTAACTAACAGAGACTGAATGTTGTGTTTATCGAAACTTATTGTAGTTCTTAAAACACAATAGAAGGCACCCTGGTTTCTGGTATGCCGAGTTTTTTTTGTTGTAGCACACCGTGGCAGATTCTGCAACGTTAACCATTTTCAAGATCTCAAAATTGGAGAATAATCAAGAATCTAAAATTGTGACAAACATTGATCAACGACAAAAAAAAGGTCGAAGACACGACCATAGATTTGACGTAGGATTACGAAAGGTAGTTTTGATGGCACAGCAAAAGTAAAGTATATGTTAAATTGATTTCCTTACCCGTTATCAGCGAGAAAGTTCGATAGGTTCCATCTGAGAATTCTGTTTGTAAGGTGCTCTGTCGATGTCCATGTAGTACACGTCAATCCTGGACGGTATGTCTTGGATACAAGCTCTTACTCTTTAGTTAACTCTTTTATCAGTCATTTGTGGTCCTGAAAAGGACCGATGGGTTGGAAGCTTGGAAGCCAGTTTAGAACAATGCTGTAGAAATTTGTCCTCGATGTTCTTGGAGATGATAGCGGTGCGGAAATGAAATATGTATTAGGGAAAACACATCAATCACAGAATCACGACGAGCATTCAATCCGATCAGTGGTTGAGGGCAGCCTTGATAGCTAGCGGCTTGCGGGGAGCCTTTCGTTGTGTACTGGAGAACACCACCACTCACCACACGCGGTGATTGAATGAACTGCGTTTGTCGAGACCGGATGGAATTCAATTTTGAAATCTGTGTTAGAGAAAGCGCTTTTCACAGGCAATCGGTGACCTTTTTATTATCATAGAAACACTTGCACATTTATGCAATTTTCAATAGTGACATTTTGAAAAATGATTAATCCTTTTAACAGATTCGAACAGATCAGAAGAGCAGGGATATACACGAGTGGCACGATCTTCAGGAAGTCCATCCAGCTTCTTGGCTTCGCCGATGACATCGACATTATGGCACGGAACTTTGATACGATGGCGGAAATGTACATCAGATTGAAGGCTGAAGCTAGGCGGATTAGACTTGCCATCAACGCATCAAAGACAAAATACATGAAAGGAAGAGGTTCTAGGGAAGACAATGTTAGCCTCACACCCCGAGTTCAGATTGACGGTGACGAAATCGAGGTGGTCGATGAGTTCGTGTATTTGGGCTCACTGGTGACCGCCGAAAATGATACCAACAGAGAAATTCAAAGACGCATTATGGCAGGGAATCGTGGCTACTTTGGACTCCGGAGGACGCTCCGGTCGAATAAAATTCGCCGCCGCACGAAGTTGACTGTCTACACCCAACCGGTGGATGTAAGATTCGCTTACAATTATGTGGGATTCATCATCAGAGGATGTAAGTGGAGACCGCATGAACCGAGGATGCGATATACCTAGCTGCGGTCCGATGTAAGAAAATTGGAGACCGAAACATGTGGAGTGTATTAGTGAGTGAAATTAATTATGTCGAAAAAATAGAAAAAGGTTGCCGCCGCCTGGACTCGAACCACGGACGTTGCGACTATCAGACCTGTGCTTTCTCCACTGCACTCTTCATGCTTCTGAATATGGGCAGCCTAAAAGCAAACATGAAGCGCTCATTTTCTCGCATGCTCGACTTCGTATGCTTTTCCTGCTGGAGAGATTCAAGATAAGTGTGTGCGTCGTTCTACAATGTTCTACAATGTGCGTCGTTCTACAAGCTTACTGGGTATAGTCGAAAGCGTAGATTGAACCCGAAATAAAAATGCTCGACTTCGTATGCTTTTTCTGCTGGAGATATTCGAGATAAGTGTGTGCGTCGTTCTACAATGTACGTCGTTCTACAAGCTTACTGGTATAGTCGAAAGAGTAGATGGAACACGAAATAAAAAAGACAAAAAACCATTACATCGCCTGCATGGTCAATTTCTAACATTCATTGCGATGTTCATGAACAGAGGATGATAGGAAACGGAACTAACATTCATTGTAATAGATTTTTGGTTTGCGTGTACAAGACGATGATTAGACCGGTAGTGCTCTACGGCCACCAGACCTGGACTATGCTCGTGGAGGCCCAACGCCCTCTTGGTGTTTTTGAACGGAAGGTGCTGCGTACCATCTACGGTGGAGTACAAATGGAGGACGGAAAGTGGAGGAGGCGAATGAACCACAAATTGCACCAGCTGCTGGGAGAACCATCCATGGTCCACATTGCAAAAATTGGGCGACTACGGTGGGCTGGACACGTTGTAAGAATGCTGCACGACGACCCAGTGAAAATGGTTCTAGAAAGCGACCCAACAGGAACAAGAAGAAGAGGCGCGCACCGGGCAAGGTGGATCGACCAAGTAGAAAGCGACCTGCTGAGCCTTCGCAGACTACGAGGCTGGCGAAGTGCGGCCATGGGTCGAGTAGAGTGGAAACGACTTCTTCGGACAGCAGAGGACAACAAGGCCTTAGCCTGATTGGTAAAGTAAGGTAAGGTAAGTAAGGGTACCGTTTAACATGGGGCATCCCTAGAAACTTCTCCCAAGACACTATTTACCTAAAATTGATGCTGTTCCGTTTGGACCATTGTCCCCAGTTATCGCAGTATTTTGTGAAATAGTAGATATAAAAATATAAAGAGCAGCTGGTGAAGCGAAAACTACATATAGGCGGAATAGATGTAATGTTGGCTTAAATACCCCAAATTTAGGCCCATACAAAAATTCAGCAATCGACTAAATTTTCAATAGCGACCAAAAATATACATTAGTACCGTCTCAATGACGCGTTCATCTAGATAAAATTGATAAATAGCTGATTTTTAGCGATGAGCCCAATCTTTGATCCATAGGCCAACATTAGAGCCATTTCCCCTATATGTAGTTTTCGGTTCACCAGCTGCTCTATGTCCTTTATCCACTCCTTCTCCGCTAAGTCAACTGTGTAGTAGTTAATGATTTAGCCCGGGCATCGGTTGCTTCTTTCACTGTTCTCCTCAACCAGCGGGGTCGTAACATCAATTTTCACAACATCTTCCTCAAGCACTTCTACCTCTTTCTCTAACAACAAAGTGTTGTTGCCCAACAATGCACATCCAGCCACCACATCAGCGAATGTACTGCTTCTGGGCCTTCCGAATGAGGCAGAAGTTAATCCAGCGCCCCTCCATCTTGCATAAGAAACATGTGTTTTTATTCCCGTCATAGAATATATTCTCTTACCGATTGAGAAAATGCTGCAAGAAGAGGAATTTCCTTTATCACGTACATATAATATGTACAACTCATACATCGATCTAGGTGCAACAACACGGGTATTTATGACTCCAACATGAACCCTAGATCACGATCCAAGACTTCAACGTATGGAACGTAGTCTCCGCAGGACATGCGTATATCCAGTGTATTTCCAACGATATTTTGTAAAATATTAAATCATCAATTATGCATCATTGCATAAAAAATAACTTCATCCGTGTTGAACTTTATGAAAAATGGTACCATTCTGCAATCCGGTAAGTTGCTTCCATATCAACGGGATTCCTAACCAGTGACTTCACAAAATCAACTACACACTTAATAATGATTACCGACTTCGGTATTTTTTACCGAACATTCAACAGCTGAACTGTTC